AGAGACTCCTACCATCTTCGGGAAGAACAATCTACTATGTGGCCTAAGCTTTGTTGTAAGATTCCAGATTCTTGAGGAAAAGCCCTGGGTCGCTGGCGTGATTCCTTTGAAACCTAAGGGAAAAGGCTGGGGGCTAACGAGCAGTGAGAATATCTGTGACGGTTATTGTTTTATTTAGAGTTTTCTGCATTTTTTTTTTTTTTTTTTTTTACATCTTCAAAACAAAAGCAAGAACGACTGAAGCTCAGAGAAGTGACTCGGTCAAGGTCACGCAAGGTCACACAGCCGGGCACGGGCCTGAAGCCAGGTCTGCTGAGGCCCCGCTGCGCTGACGCGGGCACGCGGGAGCGCCTGGCAGGGCCCCGAGTGGAGAGGGCGCCCTCGAGGTCACAGCTAGCTCTTCTGTTGGTTTCCCCGTTGTACTGAGAACAACTGACATCCGTCCCCGTGTCCGCACCAGGGGCAGCATGGCAGTGGTCTCACATCCTCCTTCCTTCACTTGCAGGGCGACTCTGGGGGACCCCTGGCCTGCGAGGAGGCCCCCGGCGTGTTTTACCTGGCGGGGATCGTGAGCTGGGGGGTCGGCTGTGCTCAGGCCGGGAGGCCCGGCGTGTACACTCGCATCACCAGGCTGAAGGGCTGGATCCTGGACACCATGTCCTTGGGCCCCCTGCCCACCACGGGACCCCCGCCCGCCACCAGGCCTCCCTCCAGGACGGCGGCTGGCCCCACGGTCCCGGGGGTCCTGGCCAGCAGAGCCACCCTCCCGGCCACCCGCAGGGCGACCAGCCAAGCTGCCAGCACCGTGAGCACCGCTGCGGGGGGACAGACACCGCTTCCAAGCGCCCCTGGCACCACCTCGGGCTTCCAGCCACCAGGTAGCAGGAGGGATGGAGGCACGCGTGGGTGGCAGGGGGTCCTGCCTCCGCCGTGACAACAGCAGACATGTATTCGCTCCCAGTGCTGGAGGTCGGAAGTCTGCATACGCGCTGTCCTCTCCCCATGTCCTCATGGGTTCGTCTGTGTGTGTGTGTGTGTGTACCCTCGTGTTCTAACTTCTTCACCTCTTCAAAGACCTGTGTCCAAGTGACACATCCTGAGCTCCCGGAGAGGGCACGAGGCAGCCCACGATAGGTCCTGAAAGCCGGGGACACAGGCTCTGATCGGGCGGCCCTGACGGGAGGGTCCCCACTGCTCTGTCCATGCAGCCAGTGTTCAGCCTCCTGCGTGCAGGCCCGTGCTAAGCCTGGGGTGCAGTGGGGGGCCAGACACGGTAAGACGGCAAGCAGGAGTGAGGAAACCCAGCCGACCCCGCAGGCTCCCGCGCGGGGCCCCGGGGGGCGCCCCGACTAAGGCGCAGCCCAGCTCGGCAGAACAGGCTGCAGGACGCTGACGGGCACGGCACCTGGGGGGTCTCTGAGCGCTTCTAAAGCGCTCGGTTACGTTTTATTATCAATCAGAACTGTGTGAAACGTGTATTTGCGGGTCCGAAATAAAGCCCCATCAAATACATCCGGTTTCCTGTAGGTCACGCCGGGGCTCTGAGGGGAGAACCAGGCCTGGCTTCTGCCGCATGTGGGCTGTGGGGGCGGACCCCCGTCTCAGCGACTGGCCCACCCCTCCCAGCGGCCTTGGTTTTGAGGGGTGGGCCGGTCACCCGAGCAGAACTCAGAGGGAAGGAAGTGTTTTTGCCACAGACACAGGGCTCTCCAGAGAAAGGTGGGGTGGGGTGGGGAGCAGGGGCTGGGGGGCAGCGGGAAGGCACCAGTAGAAGCCCCTTGGCCCTGCTGCTCTGTGCACACAGCACCCCCCACCCCCCAGCAGACGTGACCTCTGCGCTCTCACATCCAGATGCTCAGGGACAGCGTCTGGTCTGGCTTCATTCAGGTGGGGAGGCAGGTCAGCGGGGGACCAAGCAAGCTTCTGGGGGCTTCCCCCAAAGGAGGCAGGCGCTCAGCACAAGGGGCTGCTGGTCTGTGTCGCTGCACCCACCTTCCCTCTTACTGATGAGTGTCCCAGAATTCCGATGCTCTGAGTCCCCACCCCCAGCATCCTCACCGACTCCCCTCCAGAGATTCTGATCCAGGGACCTTTCCCCGCTTCCCTCCTCCGTCAGTGTCCCTCCCCTGGTCCCTGTTGTCTTTGTGTTCAGGGTGTGTGTGGTCTAACCCTGTGACACAGAGGTCGGGGGAAAGGGCTCGTAATCCTCTGGCCTATCCCAACCTTTAGGACGTGTCCCCGGGGCTCTTCTTTCCCTCTGCCCTTGCACACGTGTGGATGGTGTCGGCCCCACGATCCTGAGTCGCCCGGGCACAGACCTGTCCCCACAAGGTCGGGCTTATGGGCTCTTGCCTCGAGGCAGCCTGCAAGCCACCAGAACCAAACAGAGGAAGAGGCGGGTCGCTGTGGGGTCTGGGCGCATGGTGGGGTGTAGGGGACCTTGGAAGGAAGCGTCCCGATTGGCCAGGAGCAAAGCCGACCACAGGCCGAGGATCTGGGCACAGGTCTCGACTCTGAGGGGGACCCGGGTCCTGTTTCCTGGGGAACCACAAAGTGGAGACAGGCACGGAGCGTCCGGCCCAGAGCCCTGGAAGGCTAATCTCCGAGAGACCACTGTCCCTGGCCAAAGGGGCAGCTCCCCTTCGTGCCGCTGACTCCCGGCAGTAGCTGCTGCCGGTCTGGCCGCAGTGTTTCCGGCAGCGATGTGCGGAGAAGGGGAGTGTGTCTCCTTAAGTCTGCAGCTGGCTTCTCTGCGTCTGGCCTCCCGCCCTGGGGACTTCCTAGTCTGATCCCTACAGCCTGCAGGTTCTTAGCTTGGGGCGCAGAAGACGTGAGGAAGGCCCGCGGCATGGCACGCTTTGCCGCGCTGTTCCGTGCGGGGCAACATTTCCAGACAGGAGCAGTTTCCATCCGACTCCCCAGGCCGCCTGGTCCGGGTCCTCGGGACTGAGAGGGGACGGGGAAGAAGGCCTCCCCCTTCTTCCTTTCCAGCTGAGGCTGGGACAGGGGGCTGGAGGGCAGGGAAGTCACCCGGGGGTGGGAAAGCAGGCTGGGGAAGGGGGGCCGTTCTGGAGGAGGAAGGGTTCCCTGTGGGAAGGACCAGGCGGGTCCCCGTGCGGCCCCATGGGTGGCGACGGGTTCCCGCGGCACCCGTTGAAACCACGGATTGGTCCATCCTGCAGTTGTGTTCTGAGAGTGCATTTTGTTGTGGGGAGGGCGGGGGGGGGGTTGTCAGAGCTGGAGGAAGCATCCTGGGAAGGAGAACCGGGGAGGGCGTCCAGGAAGACCGGGCAGCGCTGGAGCTGCAGGGACAGGGCAGGGGCCTACTGGGCGGCAGCCTAGGGTGTGCAAAGGCCCTGGGGCAGCAGGGAACTTGGCTCCTAGTGCCCTGAGAGATGCCAGGGGCTGGACAGGGAGGTGAGAGGAGGTGCTGGCCTGACCTTCAGCCAGGAAGGGGTTCCAAATGTAATCTGAGAAGCGCCCAGAGAGGGCTCATTTGCAGAACCAAGCGCCAGGTCCAGTGTCTTTTCCAGGGGAGTTTACCGAGCCAGGTCCCCCAACCCACTGCGGGCTACTCCCACCCTAGGCACGCAGGCGGGGCTGCGAGGCGGAGTCTGTCCGCTGAGCCGCCCCCGACTCCCCCGCAGACTGCGGCCTGGCACCGGTGGCAGCGATGACCAGGATCGTGGGCGGCAGCGCCGCGGGCCGCGGGGAGTGGCCGTGGCAGGTGAGCCTGTGGCTGCGGCGCCGGGAGCACCGCTGCGGGGCCGTCCTGGTGGCCGAGAGGTGGCTGCTGTCGGCGGCGCACTGCTTCGATGTGTGAGTCCGGCCGCCCCAACGCGCCGGCCCGCGGGGTTCACTGGGCCGACTTCGCGGTCGAAAACTCTTAAGTTGCCCCTCCGTGTCTTGGCCACGAAGAACCCTTCCCCAGCCACCGGCACCCCCTGCCCCAGGCGGTCGCCTCCTTTATACAGCCCTCCCCCGCTCACCGACCACCGCCACCAAACCCCGGCCACAGCCGCTCCCGTCTCCGGGGCCCGGCCGGCGGCGGGGAGTCTCCGGGGAGCACTGGGGCCCTTCCTTTACTGGCTCACGCCACTGGGGCTCGGCACCAGGCCCAAAGTGGCAGTCCCCTTCCTGGCAGGGTGCTCTGTAGGGTGGACCAGGCTAGGGGTCAGGGCCGGAGGGGGCGGGCCCTTACGGCCACCAGACACAGCGCGTGGGGTCACGTCAGTGCGTGGGAGCGGGCGGGACCCCCGCCCCCTCCCGCCGTCCTAGGAGGAAGGGACAGCGACCGGGCGGGCGCGGGGGCGGGGGCGCTCGGGCCGACGTCTGTCCCCGCGCGGCCCGCAGCTACGGGGACCCCAAGCAGTGGGCGGCCCTCCTGGGCACGCCGTTCCTGAGCGGCGCCGAGGGGCAGCTGGAGCGCGTGGCGCGCATCTACAAGCACCCCTTCTACAACCTCTACACGCTCGACTACGACGTGGCGCTGCTCGAGCTGGCTGGCTCCGTGCGCCGCAGCCGCCTGGTGCGGCCCATCTGCCTGCCCGAGCCCACGCCGCGGCCCCCCGACGGCGCGCGCTGCGTCATCACCGGCTGGGGCTCGGTGCGCGAGGGAGGTAGGCGCGGCCGCCGGCCACCCCCCCCCCGCGCGCGCCCCGGGCGGCGTCGAGCGCGCCCCCGGCCCATCCGGCTCCGTCTCGCCCGTAGGCTCGATGGCGCGGCAGCTGCAGAAGGCGGCCGTGCGCCTCCTCAGCGAGCAGACGTGCCGCCGCTTCTACCCAGTACAGATCAGCGGCCGCATGCTGTGCGCCGGCTTCCCGCAGGGCGGCGTGGACAGCTGCTCGGTGAGCGCACTTTGCGGCGGAAGCGGGCGCTCCGCGGAGGGCGGGGGTCGCGGGGCGAAGTTCTCATCGCTGCGAGGCCTACCGGCCGGGTGCCACACACTCCGACGCCCACCTCTCCAGCCCGCCAAGTAGAGCACCGATCCCGGCCTCGAATTCTCACTCCACCACCGTTTATTGGGCATCCTGCCTCTGGGCCCTGCAGAGGAGGGATGGGGGCTGGGCAGCGAGAGGTCCCATTCTGGCCCGAGACCGATGCCCAGTGCCCATAAATGTCTGCTGGCCAAAGGAGCGGGTGATCCTAACACATCCCATCTCCCAGGAACTAGGAGGCTCAGGGGGAAGGGGCCCAGGCTCAAGGGCCTCTGGGGGGGGAGGGGGGTACTGGCCTGCTCCTAAGGCCTTTCCTTTCCTCCCCTCAGGGTGACGCTGGGGGACCCCTAGCCTGCAGGGAGCCCTCTGGCCGGTGGGTGCTAACTGGGGTCACCAGCTGGGGTTACGGCTGCGGACGGCCCCACTTCCCGGGTGTCTACACTCGCGTGGCTGCCGTGAGAGGCTGGATCGGGCAGAACATCCGGGAGTGACCGGCCCGTGGCTGCCCACGCCTGGGACAAGAGAGGGGAAGGCAGCAGGAAGCGGCTGGCCCCTCTGCCGGAGGAGGGGAGTCTGGGGCGCGGGGAACCGGGAGCAATCTTACTGCGTATTTTGTTGCAATAAACAGCCCCTGGTCCCTAGCCTGCCGGCTCAGCACCTCCGTGTCACGGCAAGGACCACTTGCCCGCCCCTCAGCCCGGCCTGGGGGTGGGAGGGTGCGGGGGAGAGGAAGCGAGGCCTCCTGGGGGCGAGGACCACCCTCCAAGGCTTCGGCGCAGCAGCTGGGGAGAGGGCTGGCCAGCCTCCTCTTCCAAGGTCCCCGTCGTGCAAGCAACCTGTTCCCGGTCATCGCGGACGCCCAGCCGCGCAGAGGGGAAGCGGGGAGGCGGGGAGGCGGGTCGGGGCGGGGAAGCGGCTCAGTCCGGGCGGGGCACCCAGGGACGCGCGCTGCCACCTCCCCCAGAGGACCCCCGGAGGGAAGAGCGCCGGCTGCTTTTCCGCCCCTCCCTCATTTATTTGCCCGCCCACCGTCAGGCGGTCACAGCTCGGGTGGGGCCTGACGGCTCCCCCAGGTCCAACCGCGGGTTCTCCGCCCGAGGCACGCGGTGAGCCTGTGCACACCGGGGGCCGTGCCGCCGCGCTGCCGGCACTTGGCGAAGTCTCGCCGCCCCCGCGATCCACGCCGCGCTCGCTGGCAGGCGGGAGGGGAGCAGCGTCCCGAGGGTCGCCGGTCTCCTCAGAAGCACGGGCAGGCAGGACGCACGAGCGGGCCCCCGCTTCGCAAAGAGCGTTTATGGAACTGAAACGGAGGGTGGGGGTCGGGCGCGGCGGGGTCACATGTTGGCTCGTTCCCGCTGCAGCCGCGAGTTGTAGGCGCGGGACACGGTGTTCCAGGCGTCCATGTAGCGGTCCATGCACATGGCGATGCACTTCTGCAGGCGGGGAGGGCGCGCGGCTCAGCTCCCGCCCCGGCCGGCGCCCCCACCCCGGGGCAGCCGGCCGCGCACGCGCAGGGGCCCCACCGCAACGCCCGCCGGGCCGCGCACGCGCAGGGGCCTCCCCGCGGCCCCGCCGGTCTCACCTGTTCCGAGTTGTCCAGGGAGCCCCCCGGCTTCCCGATGCACTTCCGGAAGCACTTGTCCGTCATCCTCTGTGGAGACACGCGAGCTCAGCCGCGACACTCGCCCCCACGGACCCCACCGCCCTCAGCGCCCGCCCCGGCCCGACCCCAGACCTGCAGCAGCTCCTGCGCGTTAGCCACGGCGATCTGCACCTTCACCTGCTCCATGATGAGCCCCGGGTCCAGCTTGCCGCCTCCGGAGCTCCCGAAATCCGAGCCGAAGCCACCCTCCATGGCTCCGCAAAGCCAAACGAACCGAAACCGCGTGCGCCGACCCGTACCCACGCCGGAAGTCGGCCTCCCGGGGCACCACGGGAAATGAAGTCCGAGCGTGCTGGGAGCGGAGCCAGGTCGGACTACAACTACCACAAGGCCGTGCGCCCCTACCCTCCCCCCCCCACTTTGCGCGCAAGCGCGGTCTGCAACCGGCTTCCGCGCCGGCCGCGGGTGTCTCCGACATGGTGCCGGCGGGTGGGAGGCACGGGGGCAGCTGAGAAGACGTTCCCGGCTCGCCGTGCGGGTCGCGCATGCGCACGAGGCCTCCCCCGCCCGCGGCAGGCGCGTCACGTGACCGAGGGCGCCGGCTGGCGCGGGAGGCCCGGCCAAACCCCTGGGGTCTCCGACGCCGGTCTGTTGCCGGACTGGGGCAGCTGTGTCAGAGCGGACTCGGGGCAGCACTTAAAACCAAAATGTTTATTGGAGTGTTGTACAAAAAGTTTCCAGTCATAAAATGCATATTACAAATCACTGGAGAAAGAAAAAGACCACACGTTTGGCATGCAAGTTCGTGGACGCCGCCCCCGGCTCCCCCGCCCGGCGCTCGCTCGGGGCGGCCCCCCGGCAGGTTGTGCTGGTGCTTCGGCGGCGGCGGCGCGCCCTGGGGCTGCGGGGTCAGACCGCACCCCGAGGGCCGCCGAGCCGCCGCTGGCCGGGGCGAGGGAACCGTCTCGCGTCCTTTAAAGCGGCTTAAAGCTAAGCATGTTTGACAACTACGAACTGTTTCCCAGGCCGACGCTGACGTTGTAACATTGGACCCCACCCTGGACCTCCCAGCACTTCCCTACCAACGCCCGTCCCCCACTTGCTGGCACCCCTCCCCCGGGCCAGGGACGCCACCGGGCGGGCATAAGGCGGGGAACCGGCTTGAAGACGACAGGAATCACCTGCCGGACACGAGGGGGGCCCACTCCCTGCACATGAGACCCCCCCCCCAAGACACCTCGCAGGATGTGGCCGAGGCCAGGGCACACTGTCGGGAGGACCCCCGCCCCACCCTCCCAAAGCCTCAAGCCTCTGCACTCCAGGCCGGCACTGTGCGCGTGGTCCCCGAGGTGTGGGCGCGGGGTGGGGGGATGCGCAGCCGGCGGCCCTCCTGGGAAAGGTCATGTGTGGGGCGGGGCTGGCGCATCGCCAGGCTGAGCGAGCGCCCCGGGGCGCACCAGAAACGCGGGGAGGAGTGGTTAGACATTTCCGTCCGCGAGGAGAACCGAGCGCACGGCCCGGGGACTCGGGTGGCCATGGAAAGAACTAGACCTAAAGCAAGGGGCTGCGGGCAGATTCTCGATGCAGCAGAAGCCTCCGACCCTCCGGCCACAAGCAGTTTCCAAGCGAAGTGAGACGGGGCGGGGTGGGGGGGGGCGGGGCAGGGCGGGGTGGGGCGGGGGTAGGGCCCGAGGTGGGAGGCAGGCGTGCTGCTCCCGGCCTAGGGCTAGCTGGGAAGGGCTGGCTGCTTTGTAAACGGGCTGCCTTCTGGGGGCAGCGTGCCTCCATGGCTCAGTATGACGTCTTGAAGACTCGAGCTGCACTTTCTGAAGGAATTTGCCGTCTGGGGCCTCAGAGGTCACCGAGATAGCCTCCCTCAACTCCAGCCCCTTGGGGGGCTGTCCCAGTGACGCTGGCATGAGGCCTCAAGTGGAATCCGGCAATCTGAGTACTGACCAATGTAAAAAAATAAATATCCATTAAAAAAATAACTTCTGTGTATCTATGTGGGGGGGGGGTACAAATGGGAAGCAAATGCGGAGGGGGCCGGGCAGCCAGGAGCTGGACTGGGGGCCGTGGAGCCATCCTGCGGAATCAGCCAGCACCGGCATGTCGGAGACACAGCGTTTCAGCGAGGTCGCCACAGAAGCTAGGACAGCGGGACACGCACATACAGGGGTCGGCGGGCGTTGGGACTCGGCCCCAGGCACAAGGCACAGAGTGGGAAAACGCCGTGTGGGTGGTCCAGTGGCTCACCCTCAAGCTGCTCTCCTCACGGCGGGCAGGAACTGGCTGCTCCCCGTGGACAGTGGCTCTGAAACCAGGGGCACTTGCTTCCAAGGTGACCCCATTTCCCTTTCCACCTGTCCCCTGGCCATTTACCTAGTGACCAGTCTCCAAACGGAGCTGTCCCTGTTCCCTGGGTTTCCATCTCTCTCTCCCGCCCTGTTGGTCCTGCAAGCTTAAGAACTGGACTACAGAAAGCTCCAGAAACTCGAGGGCCAGACAGCCAGGAAGGGAAAAGGGGGCCCACTGCAAAGTGCCTCGATATGTGCTTAGAAACCTGGCCCGCGGCCGCACACCATCACAAGGACTTACACCAGAGCCCCGGAGCCCAGGCCGGGCGGCCAAAACGCCACACTCCAGCACCTGCAGCCGGGCCACCAAAATTCCACAGGGGACGCGCCTACCCCCCTGCCCCGCGTCAGAACCTGGATTCTGGATTTGGTTTTTAAGGAGCTTCATAAAACAACTGAACTCCTAGGCAGTCCTGCTCTCCATCCACTCGAGGCCCACGGGGCGGCTCCTGGACACAAGAGCCCCAGCCCTGGCAGCCCCTGGCCCCCGTCAGCCATCAGGTTCCTCGGCCGCAGATTCAACCAAATGGTGAAATGGGGCACCAAAAAGAACTCTGGCCAGTGGTGATGAAGGAAGGGTCCAAGGAAGCCCACCCATGGGAAAGATCACAGAGACCCGCCCCCACGTTCTGGCAGTATGCTTAAAAATTCTCTAGAAATGTATCAAGGACTAAAGACAGCCAATGATATAAAAATAGTTTTCGGTGGCTCTGGGGTAAAGACAGTTGATGAGGCGTGTTCCGTTCACATCACGCGGCAGCCTCTCGAGGTGGTCCTTGGGTCCCCCTAGAAAGAAAGCCCGGCAACCTAAGAGGCCTGCACGTGCCCACCTGGCCAGGCAGGTCCCCCAACCCCTGCCGGAGAGGGGCCGGCCCAGGGCCTGTGCCCCCCTCCCCCCCCAGCAAGTCGATGGGGCCGCAGCTTCAGCCTCAACTGTCCCTGATCCAGAACCTTCGCCGTCTCCCTTCCTTCTGTTCCGAGCTACACAGGCCATCAGGACTTAAAGGTCAGACACGCGTCTTACCACGCAGAGGGGCTGCAGCTCAGCCCCAGAGCCTCAGGAACCCTTCGCCCGAACACCATTACTTAAGCCCTGGTATCTCTGGCAGGAAGGAGCAGTGGCCTCAGAGCCCGTTCACTGAGGACCCTCAAGGCTACACCGGCGCCACCCGGAGGTGCCCGGGGTTCAACACCCCACTCCTGGGGGCCCCGGGGCCAGAACCCTGAGGTCCACCCAAGGAGCAAGAGCCAGGAGACAAGGGTATTCCCCCGACAGGCCACCTCTGGCGGCGGTGGGCGCGCGGCCCTCCAGGCGGGGCAAGGCCTGGCCGGTGCCAAGAGCCAGCCACGGCCAGCCTCGCCCAGACGCTGCAGCCGGAGCAGCACCGCGCGGGAACCTGCCGGCGGCGTACGCATGCGCGTCCCAGTGGGCGTCCCCACGCGCCACCTGGGGGCCTCTACCTGTTGATGGAAAAGATCCTCCTCGCCAAACTCTGCTGCCTCCTCCTCTCCCTCCTCCCCGTTCTCCGTCTCCCGCACCACCGAGGACTGCTTCACGGTTCTCATGGCCACTTCCTGCGCAGGAGAAGGGCCACAGACACTTGACCCCTTGGGCAGCGGGGGCGCAGCCCGTCACGGTGGTGGTCAGGCCCGGGTGCTCCAGCCGAGCCTCAGCACACCGAGAGCCACGTTCCGAACCCAGGGTTGTGCTCCCTGGGCCTGTGGGGTGGTAAGGGTGAGATGGGGACCCCAGGAGGGACTCCAGAGCCAGGATGGGGGTGGCCCCCGGCAGGCCTTGGGCACCCACCTCCCCGTCGGCGTTGACCAGGACGGTCCGGAAGCTCTCGCCCACGCCCCAGCTGTTCTGGTTCTTCCACACGAGCGTCGAGGGGGGGCTGTGGGCCACTCCCGCACCAGCAGCCCACACCTGGGGACACAGGAGGGCCTCCCCATCAATGCTGGCTCCAGGCCCAGTACCACATGCCACCAGCCAGGGTAAAGGAGACACTGAGGCCTGGTGGCCACGGGCTCATGTCAGCAAATGCAGGCTGAGCGGAGACCGGAAGCCCATCAGCCCCCGGGGTCAGCGCCTGTGACTCGCGTCACCACGGGGCTCCAAAGGGCTCCAGGGAGGGTCCAAGGGCACACAGGTGACCCGCGACAGGACTCAGCTGTTCTCAGAGCCAAGTCACTCGACCACTGCCCCCCCCCCGCCCCCTCAAGCCATTGCCTGCTTCTCAAGAACGCCCCACACCCCAGCCACCACTCACATCGGTCACCCAGGGCCACTCTCCCCACCGCCCGGCCTTCCACGGCCACCTACCGTGACAGTCTGGCCGGCGCGCAGCACGTACTTGGGCGTGAACTTGTAGGCAATCTCCTCCCCTTCCATGACCTGCCTCTTGATTCGCCAGTTCCCCAGGGACTGGTCCTGGCACAGGGGACACGGCGCCTGACGCACAGCTCGGGGAGGCTGCCCCCCACCCCGCGCCCCGGGGTGCAGGCCCCTCACCTTGTCCGAGCTGTTCTTCAGCTGCACAAACCTGCCCTCCAGGTCGATGTCCTCGATGCCGATGCCGCCCGAGGCCGAGGCCCGCTGCGTCAGATGGAAGCTGGTGCTGCCGCTGCTGCTGCTGCCGGAGCCGATGCCGCTCGAGCCCGGGCCCGGCGACTCCTCCGCCTCCGGCCGCTTGCGCTTGCTGCGGCCCGGGCGCCCGGCCGTGGACACGCCGCCGCTGCTGCTGCTCGACGTGGCCCGCGAGACGGTGACGCGCGACGCCGGACTGGGGGTCAGCTTCAGCCTGCGGGGCGGGACCGAGGGCGGACCGGGGCTCCTGAGGGGCCCAAGCCTCTCGCTCGCCAGCCCCCCTGCGGCCCCGCCTCTCCCCGCCCCCCCCCGCCCCGGCTCCTCGCCCGGCCCCGCCCCCTGCACCCCTCTCCTCCTCGCGCCTTGTAGCCCCACCCCCTCCCTCCTGGCCTCGCCCCCTTGGCCTCCCTCTCCTGAGACCACCCCCACCTCTCCTCCTCGCCCTCCAGGAGCTTGCGGTAGGCGCTGATCTCCATGTCCAGGGCCAGCTTGACATCGAGCAGCTCCTGGTACTCGGCCAGCTGCTGCTGCATCACGTCCCGCATCTCGGTCATCTCCTGCTCCTTGGCGTCCAGCATCTTGCGGAACTTGTCCCGCTCCCCAGCCATGGTCTCCTCCAGCTCGCGAATCCGGTCCTCTGCGGCACTGGCCTGGCGGGCGGTGGGGGGAGTCCGGGCGGCCAGGTCAGGGCGGCCTCTGCGGGTCACGCAGAGAAGCCTACCGGGCTGCGTGTGCGCGCGGGCACCCACAGCGGGCAGGAGGCCCTGGAGGGCGGGGGGAGGCGTGGGCAGAGACCAGGCCCCGCAGCACGAGGGCTCTGGTGGTCGGTGGGCCCAACAGCCACCCCACTCCCCGGGCCAGAAGGGGAGGGGTGGTGCATCACCCACACTGCCGTTCGTGGCTCGTCTACACCCGAGACGCCAGAAGGAGGGTCCCGCAGCAGTGGCAGGGCCGAGGCGGGGGCAGGCCCTCGGGAGTCACCTGCTTCTGGAGGCCGGAGAGCTGGTAGCTGAGGGACTCGACCCGCATGCGGGCTTCCTTCAGCTCCTCCCGGGCGGCACTGGCGGCCTTATCGTTCTGGTCAGAGCTCAGCTTGGCGCTGTCCAGCTGGAGGGACACGGACAGGTGTGTGAGGGGCGGGGGGCGGGCGGCGGGCAGGGAGCTTCCCCCCCGCCCTGCCCGCCGCCCGCCGCCCGCCGCCCGCCAGCACCTTGGCCTGGTAGGTCTGCTCCAGCTCCAGTTTGTACAGCCGCACTTGCTCGTCGTGCTGGCCGCGCAGCTCCTCCAGCGCCTGCGCCATCCTGAAGTCGTACTCCTGCTGCCGGCTGCTGTCCACCTCCACCAGGCGGCGCTCATGCCGCCGCCGCGTCTCCCGCACCTCCTGCGCCAGAGCGCGGCGGTCAGCGCCCCCGCCCTGGGCCCCCAGCCTCGGGGTCACCAGTGTCCGCAACCCGAGCCCCAAGTCCACGTGAGCGCTCAAAACAACGAACCGCCGGAGAGTCACAGAGCGGACACGGCCCCGATAGCCCCCAGCTGACAAGCAGTAAATAAAACGTGTCCCCCACGCGCGGGAGCATCCCTCGGCCACGAGCACAGGCGCCCACACGCGCGGCCCCGGGGACGGACCCCGAGCCCACGACGCTCAGGGAGGGAACCAGACACGGAAGGCCACACGGGGTGTGAGTCCACGTGGGTGACACGTCCGGAGCAGGCTCCTCCGCGGACGGGAAGGGGGCTCGTGGGGGCCGGACGGGGAGTAACCGCTGATGGGGACGGGGTTTCGTTTTGGGCCGACAGAATGTTCTAGAGTTAAATAGAGGTGAAGGTTGCACAACTCTGTAAATGTACTAAAACCAACCAACTTGTACACTTTAAAAGTTTTATGGTACAGGAATATTTCAATAAAGCTGTGGTTAAAAGAATTCCTGACGAGGGGCACCTGGGTGGCTCATTGGGTTGTGCATCCAACTCTTGGTTTCAGTTCATGTCATGATCTCAGGGTAGCGGGACTGAGCCCCAAGTTGGGCTGTGCACTCAGTGGGAGTCAGCTTGTTGAGATTCTTTCCCACTCCCTCTCCCTCTGCTCCTCTCCCTGCTTGCACACTCATGTTTTTTCTTTCTCGCTCTCAAATAAATAAAAAAAATCTTAAAAAAAAAAAAAAAGACTTCCTGCCGAGCCCGTCTCAGGCACCTGGGGTCCGAGGCACAGAGACCTGGCCCTAAGGAGGCCGCCGCAACACTAAACAAACCAGTGGGAGGTCTGGGCCTAGCGCACAGCCCCCCAAACACAGGGTGGGCTCAGGTGCGGGCAGAGGGCGCTGTTCACCAGCCCGGGGCTACAAGGAAAGGCAAGTGCCTTTCCTCCAAGAAACTCACTCCAGCAGAGAGCAGTCGCTTACCACCCTGTGCCATCAGCTTGTAAAAACAATAGTGACGTTTCTCAAGGAAGCCAGCCCTGTTTACAAAGAAGCCATGAAGCTTGGGGAATCCAGGACCAGCACACCCACCTTCACGGGGCCCCCTATGGCCGCTCGCAAGGCTCGCTGCATGGCTCCGCGCCAGGAGCTCCTGGCCACTGGCCTCAGGGAGCCCCGCCAGGAGCCCTTCCAGGGTGTCCTTCGGGCTCCCCTCACAGGTCCCCGCGTGGCTCTCTTCCTGGGATCCTTCCTCATAAGTTCAGGGCCCCATACAGACCCCCTCGAAGGCTTCAGGGCTCTGGAGGATGCCTTCAGGGGTTCCCTCAGGGGCTCCTTCCCAGCTGCCCTGGCCCTAGCCCTGGCCAGGCCTGGCTGCAGCTGGAGGCCGCTCCTCAGTTGTACGGGCATGCTTCCTACCAGCAGCTCCCCCCGGGCACTGAGTGCATGAACCGGCTGGCCCCGGAGTTCCATTCTGGGCCGTGACAGGACAATGAGCTCTGTGATGATGAGCTGGGAGGGGACCCACACCACATCCATTCCGAGAAGACACAGAAACCCCAGCTCTAACTGCCAGGACTGTCATTCACTCCCAGGTGGGCCTGCCATACCCCCGAGCCCAGGCCCAGGGATTCAGAGCTTGGCAGGGGGGACCCAGGAAGCAACAGAAGCAGAGGGGCCCGCCGCTTCCCTTTCACAAAGAGGGTCTGCCGTGGGTTCAATGGTGGCGCCCCAAAAGATGTATCCAGGGCCACATTTTAAATAACCTATCTAAAATTATCTTAGTAGGCAGAGAAAGAGCATTTTGTAGTATTCAACATTCACAGTATGACAAATACACTTACTAATAATGAGAATACATGAGAACTCTCAAATCCTCTTGGAGGGCATCTCTAAAATGTGGTTTATGAAAGAATGCACACGTGTGTTTAGAGTCACCTGTTCAGTAGAATTCTATGCACATCATGAAAACCCAGCACTCTGGTCCCCTTCAGCAGGACTGTAGATCTCCCAGCCAGAACTAGGACATGTCAGTGTAAGAGTTACATTAAGAAAAAAGGAACTGGGGGCGCTTGGGTGGCTCAGTCGTTAAGCGTCTGCCTTCAGCTCACGTCATGATTCCAGGTCCTGGGATCAAGCCCCGCATCGGGCTCCCTGCTCGGCGGGGAGCCTGCTTCTCCCTCTGCCCCCCCCCCCCCCGCTTGTGTTCCCTCTCTCACTGTGTCTCTCTCTGTTAAATAAATAAAATCTTAAAAAAAAAAAAAGATGTGTCCACGTTCTAATCCCCAGAAGTAGGAGTGTGACCTTATTTGGAAAAGGGGCTTTGCGGATGGGATTAATGAATCTCCAAATCAGATCCTTCTGGATCATCCGGGTGGAATGACAAGTGTTTTTCATAAGAGATAGAAGAGCAGAGACGGGGAGAGGCCACGTGAAGGCAGAAGCACAGATGGAGGCACACGGCCACGAGCTTGGGGGACACCTAGAGCCCCCCACCCCGGGGCTGGGAGAGGCAGTAGGACCTTCCCCTGGAGCCTCCAGAGGGAGCATGGCCCCGGCCTACCCCGATCGTGGCTCTGCCCTCCGGGAAGTGGGAGACCACGAACTTTCCCGTGTGGGGGTACGGTCAGCCCTGAGACTCACCTCCTCAAAGACGTTCTTCCGGAAGTCGAGCTCCTCCTGCAGGCTCTGGCAACGGTTCTCCAGATCTACGCGCATCAGCGTCTCCTTCTCCAGCTGCTTTTTGGCCACCGCGTGACCGTCCTCTGCCTGGGAGACAAGACAGCAGGCTAAGGTGACACTGTCTGCCGCACCATATGGCCTCTCGGGGCCCAGGGATCCCCTTAAACATACACACTCCAACAGACAGTGTCAGGACTTGGAAACTGGCCGCCCGCAGCGCTCACGCCGGCCCCCAGCATCCCCAGCTTCCCCGCCAGACTGGGGAAACCCGCCCTAAACCTGCCTTAGCCAGCTGGGCCCGCAGCTCGGCCACGTCGCTCTCCAGGCCGCGCTTGTCGCTGAGGGCGGCAGCCAGCTCTGCCTCGCTCCGGTGGAACAGCGACTCCAGATCCTTCACGCGGCCCTGGGCCACCGTGAGCTCACCCTCCCTCTTCTTGGAGCTGCAAGTCAAGAGCAGGCGTTAGGCAGGAGCACGAGGGGCAAGCTGGGTGTGGGGGGCTACAGGGGGCCCCTCAGGCAGCGCCAGGAAGCCCAGGGACCAGCTCACTCTGGCCTCTGAGCATCTGCTCTGGGGTAACGGGGCCCAGGCTGTCGCCCAAAAAGCTGCCCCTTCTTCAGACCTGCTCTGCACATCAGGATTCCACCAGCTAACAAATACAAGTGCTCAAAAAAGCCTCAAGGAAAGAGCTTTAATGTAATTTTTTTGTGATTTTTCAACACAGGAGGGATCATTTAGGGGAGAACAATTTTTAAAAAAGTTAATGTATAATTTATTAAAGTTGCATATTAAAATCCTGGCCTTTGAAAAGTCGATCTTGTTTGTAAACTTAAGCTACTTTAAGTAAACTTAAGCTACTTTACTAACTTAAGGCTCATCTGATATTCTAGGAGACAATTTTCCCCAATATTAAAGAAGGCAAACAGATTCCTTAACGCCCAGCTATTACTAGCATGGGTCTGAGGCTCTTGAACATTTCTCAAAGGAATCCTCCGTCTTCTTGGAATTGAATGCATACCACCTCTCCACCCGGGCGCCGACAGAGCCGTCCCCAGCAAGAGTAGGGACACCCAGGGTCTCCCCCCAGCGCTGCTCACAAGAGGGCGCTGTGGGGGCCGAACAGCGTCCTGGTGCACGCCCCCCCCCCCCACCCAGTGAGAACCACTGGGGACGCAGCATCAGCTTGCACAAGGGGGTGGTGCAGGGACCAGTCAGTTCGGCCGCCAAGCTGCTCGTGTCCTCCACAACAGCCCTGGGAACATGGAGCTCCACTGAGGCATTTTACCGCCCCCCTCCACGAGGGTCTCAGGGTCCCTGCGGTCCTCGTCCCTGAGCTTACGCCGCACGGTCCTGCTCTCCCACCCATATGGGGCTGGGGGCTGCACAACCTGAGCCCCTAGAGCAGGTTTTGCAGGGGTTTGGGGAAACGAATCATTCGTTTGACACCCATCACTGAGGGCCCACTTTGTGGAGAATGCCACTCTCGTGCCAGAGATACACCTGGGAACACCCTTGCTCTCCCGATGCAGAACTTTCTCGTGAGACGAGATGACAGTGAAGCGTGCTGCCTGTCAGATGCGAATCTGCATTAGGAGGGCAGAGGAAGTGGGACGGGAGGTGAGGGATGAGCACAAGCCGGTGGGAACCGCACTTTTAAGGCACACAAGCCCCGGTGGGGGTCACCCTTGAAATAGACCTGGATGAGGGGAGTGTAAGAATGAGCCAGATCCATTATTTCTGAGAGAAGAGTATTTGGGCACAGGAAGCAGAAGTGCAAAGGCCCTGGGGTGAGGTGTGCCTGGCAAGTTTGAGATCAGTGACAAAACCAGGGGAACAGGAACAGAGGCATCAGGTGATGTGTAAAATTTTTCTTTTTTTTAAGTTCATTTAAATAATCTCTACACCCAATGTAGGGCTTGACCTCACAACCCCAAGATTAAGCATCACATGTTCTTCCAACTGAGTCAGCCAGGCACCTCAATGTGGAAAATTTCTAAACAACTTTATCCAATATTTGGATTCTGCAGAACTACGCAGAACGGCCCAGAAAGCAGGGGCACTGGTGGCTCCCACTGGCTTATGTCTCACTGGCCACGTCTCACGAGCTTCAAGGTGCGAACGCGGCTTCCTCATCTGTGTAACAGTAAGAACCGGAGGATTAAGCGGGAGATGTGGCCTATTTGTCGGGTCCTCCCTCACACAGCCACAGCACCCCTGGTGAACCGGCCCCGGGCCCGGAAACATCCCGGCGGCGAGGACAGACTCCCGGCACAGAGGACATCTGATGACCCAGGGGGACGTTCATGAAAGGCTCGTGGCCTCCAAAGCCCCCCACCTCACCCCCACCCATGGTCTCCGGCGTCTGCCATGAGTTTATGGAGGCGCGTGCGGGCGCTCAGGCCAGCCATGGCAGCTGTGTCTGGGGAAAGCCTGCAAGGCTGCTGTAGACTTTTACTTTTCTCTTTAAACTATCTTGCATTTTCCACTTTCTCACCAGTGGGCATCTGTGACTGCTAAGCAGAAAAAAACAAGACTCCTGGGCCCAGACAAGGAGCCGCACACAGGATCCCAGGCACCCGGAGGCTTCTGGAATCTGCACTGGCCCCAGGCAGAGCAGCTGGGGTCTCAGGCAGTGCTGACTCTGGGATTCCCTCAATCTTCCCCAAGAAGCACAAATCACTTTTTAATTAAAAAACCTACTAAACTGATGGGATACAGGCTACCTGGCCGCTTAAAACTACAGATGGCCTTTGCCCCTTGGCCAAAGACCAGGTGCCTAGACTGTGGGGCCACCTCTGCGCTCTGTTCTGTTCCGGCAGACCTCCTCCACGGAGGCACCTCAGCAGCACAGCTCTGAGAAAGAGCAGCCGGGCTGAGAAGGCCACACACCGTGTGGGTCCAAGTCTAGGACGTTCTGGGCTGAATTATGTTGGGGACCAAAGGTGGCGGGAAGGGCCAGCTAGAGGGTCAGGCCACAGAGCACCCTCACTCCCCAGCGGCCAGCCCGCATGACCCCGCACCAAGGGTGTCTGGGTGTGGCTCAGGGCCGCCGGGGACGCACCACACCTCAGCTGCACACCTACCTCTTGTTCGCCTCCTCCAGCTCAGCCTTCAGCTTCCCCAGTTCGATCTGCAGCCGCGCCCGCTCCCGCGCCGTCTCGTCCAGCACCCTGCGGGCATCGGCCAGCTCCGACTCATACAGCGTCTTGATGCCGCTCACCTGAGGGGGTGCAGCAAGGCCCAGGTCATGGAGAAACCCCTTTCCACCGACAGCGGGCGCTCCCGGGCTGGACACGGCTCCAACTGATGCCAGAGGCCTCCCCACCCAGCTCGGCCCCCCTACCCCTGGGGTGACCCCAGCCGGCCCGACCTGCCCAGGTCCCCTGTCCCCCACCCCGGTCACCCACCAGATGGGCACACAGCTCATGCTTCTCGTGGCCTTGTTACCCCCAACCTTCCCCCATCCCCCCCCATGTCTATGTGCAGAGGGCAGGCACAGGCGTTTACAAATACCTGGAACCAAACCAGGACGGTGAGAGAGTCCCTCAACCCCACTAGGACAGCCAGAGTCAAAAAGACAAAGGATAACAGATACTGGCAGCAACACAGAGAAATCGGGACCTCCACACACAGCCGGTGGGAGTGGAAAACGGGCCAGCCGCCGGGGTCGGGCAGCTGACCCTGTAGCCCTGTGACTCCACTGCTGGGACCTACCTACGCGGTAGAAGTAACAAGTGCACGCACATGAACCTGTGTGCATGTTCATGGCACAGTTCACAGAAGCCGGAAGGTATAAATGACCCAAACGTCCATCAGTGGACCAGCAGATACCTACAGTGTGTCCACACACCCACGGGCACGTCCCACGGCCGCAAGCAGGAGCAAGGCGCCCTCACGTGTTGCCCCGGGGACGGACCCGAGCCCACGACGCTCAGGGAGGGAACCAGACACGGAAGGCCACACGGGGTGTGAGTCCACGTGGGTGACACGTCCGGAAGAGGCTCATCCATGGATGGAAAGGGGGCTCGTGGGGGCTGGGGGGGGTGACGGCTGATGGGGACAGGGCTTCTTTTGGGAAGATGGGAATGTTCCGGAATTGGACAGAGGCGATGGTTGCACACATCTAAACACGCTAAGACCACTGAGCTGTAGAGCATTGTTGGACGAGCCATAGGGGCTGAGAATTCAAGCTCAATGAAGCTGCGGACAGAGAAGGTGGACGGAGGACGACAATCAGAACCACTCCCAGGGCAGCCAGCTTTGAAAGCTACACCACCTCCCACGAAACTACAAGATACCAGCAGGTGTCTGGGCTGGGGGGTGCAGGGGCAGCCGGGACACCTCCCTTCCATGGGAAAGGCCCCAGAGCAGAGGCGGCTGCAGGGAGCTGCCAAGGACCTGCGACGTGGTCAGGTAACCGCCATCCCCTGGCCAGGGACAGAGGAGCTTCTGGGAGGTGGGACTTTCCAGAAGAGTCGGGGTTTTAACAGACAGTCGAGACCCCCCCCCCCGAGAAATAAGGTTGAGTAAGTAAAAATACATCATACTGCTTGTCCCCACGACCGAGATTTTTGGCTTCACCCGTCCTGACCCTGCTCTGGGCTCCATACTGCTTGTCCCCACGACCGAGATTTTTGGCTTCACCCGTCCTGACCCTGCTCTGGGCTCCCAGGCTCAGTCCCCTCAAGTGCCTTGGTTAAAGTACCGAGTTCTGGGGCACCCGGCTGTCTGGGACGCATAATTCTTGATCTCAGGGTGGAAGTTCAAGCGCCATGGTTGTAGAGATTACTAAATAAGAGTACTAAGTCCACGCAGTGTTTCACGTCCGTGCGCGCACGCGCAGACATGCGGGCACATGTCCATCTGTCTTAATAAGGCACTTATCTACAGCCAGGCCTGCAAACTCAGGCCCACAAGCCAAATTCCGTCCCAACGCCTGTGTTTGTCCAGCCTGCAAGCCCAGGACAGTTTTTACATCTTTAAATGGCGAAGGTGGGGGGGAAGAAAAAGAAGTTTTGTGACACAGGCAAATTACAGGAATTTAGGTTTCCATGTGTATAAATAAAGTTTTATTGGCACGCAGCCTGGCCCGTTCCTTTACATAGTGTCCGTGACGGCTGAGTTGAGCAGCTGTGATGGAGACTTCCAGCCCACAGAGCTGAAAATGCTGACTCTAGCCCTGTTCAGAAAACATCTGCCAAACCCACTCTATGGCCCTGGGACAACGTAGAAAATGCTTGTAGAGCACAAGCACACAGCCTCTTTCAGACCACTAACAGGTGCTCTGCTGGCAGGACTTGCTTCCCTGCACCTGTGACAGTCCCTGCAGAAGCCTGGGCCACAGCAATGGGAGACCAATGGCTTGGGCCTTTTGTTTGGTCTTTAATGGCATTCTGCAACTGCCAAGAATGAACAAATGTGTTAGCATGTGTTGGCCAGGGAGGTGGAGCGTGGGGAGGGGGGTGTCCAGATAACCCGAGGTGGCCTTTTCCTGTTCCCGAGTCTCTGGGGGATGAAATCTTCCCAGCTAAGAACCACAGTTCTGCAGCTAATCCCCAGACACAGGCAGCCCCAAGTGCTACTTCCTCCCACCCAGCTCACCGCACCCTGCCCCTGCTCCCTGGGTCCACCTGAGGGAGCCCCCTACCTGCCCCCACCCCCCAGCAGCAACAGGACACCCTGGCAGGTAAGAGAAAAGAAACCGAAGGCTGGAGGAACTTAACACCCAAGTGGGGAGGCTCCTTGGAGAACTGCCTTCCCCTCCCGGGTCCCCTCCCTCCCGGCCAGCACACAAGACCTCTCTCAAACAGAAATCCGGCCCGGCCCCAGCCCTTCCAGAAACCCTCCAGTGACATGAGCACATGGCTCTTCAGGAGAGCACTGCCCACCCGACCAATACCCAGCGGGACCTGTAGGTAGGCACGTGTGAGAGCGTGCCCACGGGCAGAACAGCAAGGGCTTGGAAGCTTCAGTTTTACCTCAACTGTTTAGGTTTTACTACAAGCGTGTGGTATGCTTATAACATTTTAAAAGGCATCTTCAAAGGGTTCCTGAAGTGGCTTCTCCTAATGGCATTTGGGGCTGGAACATCCTCGGGGGTGGGGCCATCCTGAGCACCACTTGATGCCAGGAGCACCCCCAGCCTGATGACCACTAATGTCCCTGGGGGCAGCCTCCATGGTGGCAAGGAGCTGCTGTTCAGGTAAAGCGCACACATCCCTCCTACTGGAGCCACCTTCCCGGCCCCCTCCCTGCTTCTGCCCACCCACCTCTCCAGAGCCCGGCAAGCCTCCCCACCCTCCCCGCCCCCGCCCCTAGCCAAGGCCATTTCCAGGTCACTCCCTCTAGAGAGCCCACGGGACCACTCCCGCCCTCACTGCTCCAGCATCCCCTCCCTCCGTAGGTCACCAGCTCCCTCCACTGCCCAGTTCCGAGGGGCATTTATCACCTGGCCCCACGGGCAGGTAGAAGCTCCAGAACAAGCTGGTGGCAACTCCCCAGCTCCAGGTGGGAGCGCAGCCCTCACTCCGGGGTGACACCTAGAGCCCCCACACAGCCCCTGAGCTCACAGTGGGGCAGGTTTATCACCCACAGCAAGACTGCCTTTGTTCCCTTGAGCTCATCTGGTTTCCAAGAGGCCTCACCAGCTGAGAAGGGAATGATGCTGCTCCCCAGACAGCCGGCGGACCGGGTTCCCCAGGCGCTCCCGCACGGGCTCTAGGTACAACACCCACCCAGCGCATGCTGGTCACTGCCACTGGGCCCAGCAGGCCCATCACCCCCAAAGGTCTGCTTGCCATTCACCCCACCTGCGGGTGGGACAAGCAAGGCCAGGAGAAAGACAAGAAACTCACATGGGTGGCGCACCAACCAACCCAGCAGGCAGGAACTGGGTCCACATCCTGAAGACATTAGGGGGCCACCTCGGGGGCAGACAATTCTAGCCCCATCGTATTAATGACAAAACCTGCCCAAGGTCACACTGACTAAAAGCAGTTTGCATCTGAGTTTGAATCCAATCCCGAGCAACATAGCACCACCTACCAACGAAACTTCCTCCCCATCATCACCCAAGACACTTTCTGAGCCATTACCTGTCCTGGCAACGAGGAAACAGGGGCGACAGAACCCACGGAATACTTCCTCGGAGCGCCTGTCCTTTATTCTACAAAACACATATTAACACACACGCCCCACCAGCTAGCACAAAAGGGGGGCATTGTTATTTCCATTTTACAAAAGAAGCACTGAGATCCAGAGAATTTAAGTGACTTGCCCTGAGTCACACAAAGGGCAAGTGGCTCCCTGAAATGACCCCCTAGCTGCTCTCCTCCAAATCTGTCACTTGGTCCACGGTCAGGATAGGGAAGCCTAGGGAAGCCTAGGCTCTAGAACATTCTGGCTTCAGGGCCTGGCTCTCCTACGGGCCCTCAGGGGGAACCACAGGGTGAGCACTCCCCCAGCCCCCCACCCTTATTCAGAGAAACCACACTTGGGTTTCAAGGGGCCAGCAGGGGCCAGCTAAGTAAGAAAAGAGCCTGGGACCTGTGGGGACTGGGGGAGGGGCCTGTGGGGACTGGGGGAGGGTTGGGTTGGAGCCACAGTACCCAACCAAGGAAAGGACCCACCCAGGACACCCAGCCCTCACTTGCCCTTGCAGGGTGGGGCTTACCCAGCCCCTCTCCCTCAGTCTGCAGTGAAGCCCTGAGACCCACGTGGAAACCAAAACTTCCCACTGGATCCCCAAGACCAGACGTCTCCCCATTCCCTACCAGGCTCCAGTCCATCAGCCAACGGGGGCCCCAAGGCCCACCTGAGGACCTCTCAAATTTCCCATGGGACCCCTGAGGCATCAGACCCCCTCCCCTCGGATGCCCACCCACCCCAGGTGCGGGTAGGAGACGGACCCTACAGCCAAACCACCTCCCCAGTCCCTCAACTCCCCAGAACTCATCACAGGGCCTTTGCAGAGTTCCACAGAGAACAGAGCACGTGACTCCCCCCCGAGCCCCCCCCCCCCCGACCATGAGACCCTCCACACAGTTTGAACTCCCGGTCTCCTCCGAGACCCGAGAACCCCACCAAATTTCCTCCCAGGACGCCAGAACATCCTAACGCATCCCCGAGACTCCCCACCTCGCTTAGGGGCGGGGCTTACTCTGGCTCATTCCCTCTCAGCCAGGGGATCCCCAGATCGCCTCTAACTACTCAGGGCTCGGCCCTGCCCCATCTCCACCACTCGCACAGGGGGCCCCGGGATCCTTTGGGGTCCCTCAGAGGAGGGGGGTACCCCAGACTGCACTCCTCACTCAGTGGATACACGAAATCCCCTGCGGGCCCCTCGCGGGCGGGGCTTGTCCCAGTGTGCACCCCTCATTCACAGGTCCCCCGAAAAACTCTGGGGAACCTTCGGTGGGCGGGACCTGCTCCAGTGTGCACCCCTCTCTCACAGGTCGCCCGAAAAATCCCTCGGACTCCTCGGTGGGCGGGGCCTGCCCCCGTGTGCACCCCTCTCCTGGAGCCCCTCGAGACTCCCTGAGGATCCCCTAGGTGGGCAGGCCCGCCCGGCTTCCAAACCTCTCCCACGGGAGGTCCCCGAAACCCCCCGGGTAGAGTCAGAGGCCGAGGCCCACCCCAGCGTGCGCCCCTAGGGCCCCCGAACCCCGGGGACCCCCCCGGTGGGCGGGGCCTGCCCAGTGTCACCTCTCGCGCGCGGGAGCCCCCGGGGACCCTCAGAGGTCGAAGCCCCGGCTGCGCGCCCACCTCGCGCGTGGTCACCTCCTCCCTCTCGGAGATCTTGAGCAGGAGCCGGTCGTTCTCGAGCTCGAGCGCGCGGACACGGTCGATGTAGTGCGCCAGGCGGTCATTGAGCTCGCGCAGCTCCTCCTTCTCCTGCAGCCGCGACAGGCGCGTGGGCGACAGCGGCGTGGCGGGCCCGCCTGCGCGGCTGGGCAGCGGCGTGGCCATGGCGGCGGTGGTGGCGGCGGCGGCGACAGCGGCTCGGGGCCCGCGCGGCTCGGGACGGCGGCCGCGGCGCGGCGGGCTCATTCAATCCGCGCCGCCGACCAAGATGGCGCCCGGCGCCCGCCGCCGCGGAGCAGCCTGGGACTTGTAGTCTGTCCTGGCTGCGCGGGGCAAGCCGGGAGCTGTAGTTTCCTGTGCGGGCAAGGCTTTGCTCGCCTCCCGCTCAGGTTCTCGCTCTGTCGACACATTGCTGTTCCTGAAACTGCTAGCGTCCAGGGCCAACCCCCCGGACCTGAAACTCCCAGCTCGCCACCGAGTGACACCGGGTTTCTTTCCAATGCCCACTTTCCCGACTTGTATAACCTACCTACCTCTTTGGAGTCCTTTTAAAATTAAAGGTGAAGGAACCTCAAAAACATGCTCAGTGATGTCACTTACATGTACAATCAAAATGAAATAATAAGATAAGATAAGATAAATAACTGAGCTCACAGCAGGCGCCTGGCTGGCTCAGTCGGAAGAGCGTACCACTCGACCATTGATCTCGGCATTGTGAGTTCAAGCCCCACCTTGGTTGAAGCGATTACTAAAAAAAATTAATTAACTTAAAAAAAAATAACTGAGCTCACAGATACAGAGCACAGGTTGTTGGTGGTTGCCGGTGGAGGGGTGGGAGGTGGGCAAAATAGGCGAAGTGGTCAAAAGGCACACAATCTTCCAGTTATAAAATAAAGAAGTTCTGGGGCTGTAATGCACAGCATGGTGACTATAGTTAATAACATTGTAGTATATCTGAAAGTTGCAGAGAGAGTAGACCTTAAAAGTTCTCTTCACACACAAAAAAACTGTAACTATGTGTATTGATGGATGCCAACTACACCTACTGTGATCATTTCAACAAGGTACACAAATATCAAATCATGAGGTCATACACCTGAAACTTCTACAATGTTATATGTCAATGATACCTCAATTTAAAAAAAAAAAACAAAAAGAGAAACACCTCATTGAAAGAAGCCAGGCACAAAAGGCCACATACTATCCAATTCCACTATATATAAAACATCCAGCAGAGGCGAATCTATAGAGCAGTGTCTTGGCGCATGGCCATTGGGGCCCCGTTGTTTTCTGCGGTGGGGCAGGATGTGGAGGAGCATCTCTGGGCTCCCCACCCCTCCACGTGATGCCAGCAGCACCACAGCCCATTCCAGTCCCAACAACCAAAATGTCTAGACATTTCCACCTGTCACCTGGAGGCAAAATTGCCCCCCGTTGAGAACCACTTCCTTCCCCTCACCCTGGAATTTGCCGGGAGAACCCCTCCTTCCCAGACATCCCACCTTGGGGAATTGGGCTGAAACAGCCTCCCTTAGGGACTCACAAATGTCACACGGAGAACGTGATTGTCCTTCCAGCCTTCTGAGGAGGCGGGATACTCACCTGTCTTGAACGCCTGAAACTCACTATATATTCCCCTCTTACCAGAAGCAAAGTCCCCCCCCCCACCTTAGAACCCAGGCCGGAACAATCCCCAGCTAGACCGTCACTGTGCTGTTTTCTCAAAAGCTACCTTGTGCTTTAAACCTGATATTGTTGCCTGTACCCTCATCAAACATAAAAGACAGTCGGTAGGATGCGAGGGCATTAAAGCGAAGTGTGGATCCGTGATACTCCGGGCGGCAGGGCCAGAGCGGAGGAAAGAGATTGAGATGGGGTCACCTTGCCAACGCCCCACCCCCAGACCTAGCTGCAGCCCCCTCCCCGTCAGAGCTCCGCTGACCTCCACCGCCTCGAGCCCTGGCCGACCTGGGCCCCACTCAGGGCCCTGCAGGGTCCCACCCGCCGCTAAGCGCTCTCGCCCCTCTCCGCCTCCTGGTCTTTCCCCGGCCAGGATGCCGCCAGTCCCCTCCCGGTCGCGCGGGCCGCCCTGGGCCTCAGCCTTCCCGTCTGTGAAACGAGTCTGGCCCCGACTCCCGCTCCGACCCCTCGGCGCTGGGCGGGGCCCCCCGACGCGGGACCCCCGGGGGCTGGACTCCAAGTCCCAGAAAGCCCTGCGCTTCCCGTGGGTGGGGCCCGGGGCTCCCCCTCCCCGCGCGGTTTGGGAAGCGACCGTAATTTTCAAATTTTGGCGCTGGGCGGACGGGGCGGCTACCGCGGCTGCCAGGCCCCCGCCCCCGGCCCGCCGAGCCGGAGGTCTGGGCCCCCGCCCCGCGAAGCTGGGCCGCGCCCCTGCGCAGGCTGCCCCCGCCAGGCAAGCGGCGGGACGCTCCCGGCCCTTGGCCGGCAGGCGAAACTAAGGCACGAGGCCCCCCAGCGGGGACGGGGCGCAGGCGGGATTCAAAGGCAGGACCCGCTGGCCTCGGGGCACAGGAGAGTTGATGGCTGTCTGCTTTGGGGGCAGGGAGGGCGGGTAGGGGGTAGGAGGGTCCGCTCCCGGGACCGTCCAGCCCGCCAGCCCGGTCCCGACCGTTCCTTCCACGCCCCTCGCGCCGCCGCGCTCATCCCGCGCGGGGTTTGGCGCCAGATCTTTCAAAAAATCTCAGTCCAACGGCTGCCCCTGGCTCCGGGCCCGGCTCGAGAGCCTGGATCCTGAATTCCGGAGCCTGGATCTGGGGGGCCTGGATTCCGGAGCCTAGGGAAGGGCCGGATTCCGGACCCTGGATGGGGGGCGCCGCGTATTCCCGAGCCCGGAGGGGAGTGGAGATCCCGGACCCCTGATTCCAGAGCCTGTGGGCCAAGCGCTAGGAGCTGGGAGCAGAATTCGGGAACCTGGGGGGCTGGAACCTATAATCGCAAGTGGAATTTGGGAGGGAGGGGGGATGCTGAGGCTGACAGGCAGCGCTGGTGATGGCAGTGGAATGCACTAGAGACACGGACGAATATCGACTGAACTTCTCCCCCGAGCCAGGCACGGGAGCTGCGTCAGGGTGACCCCAACAAAGATCCCTGCTCTGAGGCAGATGGCATGGGAGGAGTTGGGAGACAGGACACCGACACACACCACAAATAAGCAAATGACATGGGGTGGGGGAAGGCAAGGTGGTAAAAGAGGTGAAGGGGCTTGGGAGCGGGTGGGGCAGGGGGGTACATTTTTAAACAGGGTGGGTCCCTCTGCAAAAGGCTGGGCCTTGACTTGGAGAAGCTGACACTTGAGCAAGGACTCAAAGAGGAGGGGGGTCAACCTCGTGAACGGGTGGGGAGAGAGCCTCCCATGGAAAGGGACCAGCCAGCGCTGGTTCTAGGCCTGAAGGAAGCAGAAAGGAATGAGAACTTCCAGTGGGTGGAGATGTCCAAAATCGACCTGGGAGCTTCGGAGCCACAATAGTAACGCCAAGACAGAGTTTGGGATAAAGAGGAACAATAGCTTTATTGCGTTGCCCGGCAAAGGAGGCTTCAGAAACTGCAGGTCCTCCCCAAGGAAGGTGCTGGGGAGTTTTACAGGGAAATACAGGATCTAGCCCATTTCGGGGTTTTTTGTGTTTGTGCTGTCAGCTTTGTTCATCATGTCTTTAGGGTGGTACCGGGTTCCTGAGACAGAAGGATAGGAAGGGAGGAAGGGAGGTTTGCAGAAGAGAGGAAAAGCTTACTTTAAAATCAGGCTTCGCTGAAGCTTTAGTGAAGCCATTTTATTTTTTTTCACCTTTATGCTTTTAAGTGGTTTCAGAGACGGATATTAAAGAGGGAAACAAATATGTAATCAGACATTGGTGTATAGTTATCTGTCGCTGTGTAACAAATAGCCCCAAATGAAGTGGCTTAAAGCAACTCATTTCTTATCTCAGTTTCCATGCCTCAGGAATTCGGGTGCGGCTTAGCTGGGTCCTCTGGCCGAGGCTTCAGAAAAATTTACTTCAAGCTCTCTTGATGGAAGGATTCAAGTCCTTGCAGGGTATAGGCCTGAGAGTGTCAGGTTCTTACAAGCTGTTGTCCAAAGGCTGTCTCAAGGCCTCATCACATAACAGAAGATCTGGGTTTTGAACCCTTACTGCTTGCTGCAATGGGGAAACAGAAAACAAAAACAACCCAAATATCCGTCAACGGACCCACAGCTCCATGTACATTTACACGGTGGAATATCATACAGCGGTGAAGACGAATGCACCTAGGGGACGCCCATCCACAGCATGACCTCCGAGACATAAGATCCTGAAAGAAAGCAAAGTGCAGAAGAATACCATCACTATTCTACCACGTCTATGAAATTCCAAACCTGGCTAACCCAGCCGATCCATCACTTAGGGGGTACTACAAATGTGACAGAATTGAAAGGAAAAGCAGACACATGATTACTCAGAAGTCGGCACAGTGGTTTTGTCTGGTGGCACATGAGGACAGGTAGACGGTGGGGGCTTCAATGTGGTGGTCACATTCGATTTTATAAGCCTACTGGTTGTGAAGTCTCTAGTCTATACGCTGGACATATAAGTTATAGATGCTTGTTCTGTGTTCGATATATTTCATGTTTTAAAAATGAAAACAAAGCAAAACAAAAAAAACCCTCCTTGGGACTGCTGTATAGAACAATGTGGTCCCAATAGAAATAGAATATCCTACCACAAAAGAGAAATGGTAATCGGGGCGCCTGGGTGGCTCAGTCGTTCGTTAAGCGTCTGCCTTCGGCTCAGGTCATGGTCCCAGGGTCCTGGGATCAAGCCCCGCATCGGGCTCCCTGCTCAGCGAGAAGCCTGCTTCTCCCTCTCCCACTCCCCCTGCTTGTGTTCCCTCTCTGGCTGTGTCTCTCTCTGTTAAATAAATAAAATCTTTAAAAAAAAATGGTAATCATGTGACTCATAGAGGTGTTAACTAAGCTGCTGTGGTAATTATGTTGCAATATATAAATGTATCAAATCAATACACATTGTACATCTTACGGTTACACAACACAATGTTATATGTCAATTATATCTCAATTAAAAAAAAAAAAAGAATAGTGGCTCTGGGTGGCTCAGTAGGTTAAGCATCTGCCTTCAGCTCTGGTCATGATCTCAGGGTCCTAGGATCGAGCCTCACATCAGTCATCAGGGGAAGCCTGCTTCTCCCTCTCCCTCTGCCCCTCCCCACCACTCGTGCTTACTCTCTCTCAA